GTAAGGCTGCAGTGAGTGCTGGGGGTGGGAGGGCGGGGGAGGCCTGGCATGGCACATTTGCTGCCCTGTCCCCACTCCTTCTGCACAAGGCCCTACCCCTTCTGGGAGCACATAGCCCCTCCCCTCTACTTTACCCTGGGGCCCTGCGTGGCTGTCAGTTCCCCTCTATGAGAGTCAAATCAATTGATCCCTTCACTGCTCTCTCAAGTTACAGTTACCTGGGTGGTGCATTTATAGTCCTAAGGCAAGACTTTTTTAGGGTTGTTGTACCACCAGATGGGTTAATAAAATGAGCTATGTAGCCCCTTTTTATTTCCTGGTGCATCTGTTTTCTGCAATTTTAAAATTTCCTGCATTTAACGTAAAAGTTGCCCAGCATGGACAATGCAGAAGATGTCATTTATAAAGGATTGGCTGATGGACTGATGGAGTTCATTAAAATCTATTTTCCAAAATTAGTTATGCATCCTTAATTTTTAATTTGCTTTTGGCAAGCGATGTATTTATTTAAAATATTAGAATCAACTGCACACTCAGATAAAAGCAGAAGTAAAACAGATGGGTTGGGAAACAGAAAAATATCTGTCGTCATGAGGGAACACCCTCGTTGGCCTTCATAGCAATGATGTGTTCTCTGCTGCAATATCTTTGTTTCCTTAATTCAGAACTTGTCAATGCATTGGCTCTAGCTACAGGGCCAGATGTTCAGCTGGTGTAAATCAACAAAGCTCCACTCATTTCAGGCTGTGGCCCCAGATGTGTAATAACTCTAGAGTGTAGAATCAAGGTCTCTTGTATAGTCCATTGACTTCAGTGGAGGTCCACTGATTTCCATTACCTGAAGATCTTGCCATTGCAGCTAATAAAAGATCATTCTCATGCCCAAAAATACCACATTAAGTTCTCTAACTGAAATGAGAGATGTACCTTCTGTTTCTACTATGTTTATCACAATGTGCAAGACTAACAAATCAGTTTCTGTATTTTTTATTAATTTTTGTTTAAGTGTTGCAACTTAGTTGTATCATAGAGAACTTAATTGTTGAAGAGTGTGATCATTTAAGCAGTAGTAGTGATCAATTCTGGGGGAAAAAATTGTTCTTCCTTGAACGGGAAACAAGTAAATGCTATTTGGGGCTCCGAGAACATAGAAAGAGGAAGGTAGTCAGAAGATTATAGAAAGAACTGCCATTTTACAAGAACATAAAAACATCCCAGGAAAACATCATTATTGCAGAATACTTTAATCCATGTGTCAACAAAGATGCTGGATTCCCTATGTGGAAGAGATCCTAATATTTCTCTGGCTCTTGGGCTCCATGACACCACTCACAGGGAGGCACCAATACAGAAGCTTAGCTAGATCAGATAAAGCCATCTGAGGCATCATACAAGCCATGGGCCAAATGAGGTTTTTATTCTTGGGTTGGGGTTTTCAAAGAAATTTAGTAATATTATTTACTCCATTTTTCTGCAATCAGGACCCTAGGGAAAAAAAGGACTATTTCTGAGCCAGCCGGAACCAATACTGGATCATTACCGTATTTTAGTGAATATAACCCGCATGTTATATTTGTTGTTACAAATCCTGCATCCTCCCTGCCCCTGGAAAGTGAATAATGAAAAGTTATTTACTTGTTCCTATAACAGAGCTAAGGGGCACCCAATGAAATGAATAAACAGCCATCAACCTGTGGTGCGGGGTATACAAAAATTTTTTTACTCGCCTGGTGGTGAGTGCTCCCCCGCCCCTTCCCTCACTGCACAGCTGCCAGCCTCTGGGTGGGGGAGCGCTCATCTCCCGGTTCCTGCGCAGCCGCAGGAAGGGGCAGGGGGAGCATTCTCATTCCCCCAGCTGGAGGTTGTGTGGCTGCGTGGGAACAGGCGGGGTGAGTGCTCCCCCATCTGGAGGGTAGCTAATTTCCCCACCACCACCACGACCCACAGAAGCCCTCCCCTGCACAGTTTGAAAAAAAAGTCTTGTATACCCTGCAGGTTATACTTGGGCACGGGGTATACAAGATTTTTTTTACTCAAACTGCAAAAACTGCAGGGTATACTCGGGTGCGGGATATATTCACTAAAAGATGGTAATAAGAAATTTAAGTTTCAAGAGTTTTCCAGACCACAGAAGTATAGTTTAGAGAATTTCCACCTGTCAGTCCTACCCATTTTCACCAGGCCTCTATCCATGCAAGATTCCAAGACTGAATTTGCTATGATTTCAATAAGCATGTCATCTCTGAATCCTGTCAGCAGACAAAATAGAAGTGAAGAGTATGCCAGTCCTACACAGACAACAGAGATGCATCAGGCTTGAAACTTTTCCTGGAACAAACTACTCAAGGCAGCAAAGGAAAATCTGGTAATTGGCTACAATCCAGCAGCACCCAGGTGTTTCTACCATTCCTTTTGCAACTCACTGCCCCATCACCAAGTTGATTTGTCTTATCCTATCTCAAAAATGAATGACACCCCTTTCCCAGTCCTCTTCACCACCTCTTACAGTCCCCAGCTGCTGGCAATTAAGCTAATCTGTAATTAATCACTTAAACTTCACTCTGCTTGTAGGGGACCCTATGTTTACAATTCCATCATCACAGTGCATAATATATTCAACCTGGGGGACCAAATGTCTGAAAAACTGCATTTTTAAAGAGGACATACAAAGCAGCCTGCTCCTAACAAATAATATGCAGTTACTCACATTGCAGAAGGCAGGAATAAAATTACCTGTGAAAATGCAATGCAAAGCATCATATCAGGATGTACCGGCCATCTGGACAGGTATTGTAGCAGTTCACTCTGAAAATAAAATGAAGTCTTCATTACAAGGATGGTCTATCAGAACATGGGAGACCTGAGTCCAATTTTCTGCTCCACTACAGGCTTCTTGTGTGACTGTGCCCTAGATTCACAAAGGGACTTAGGCATTGCAATGCTTAATCTTGAAGCACCCAAAAAATCATTGGAATAACAATGGGATCCACAAAGCCTGAGTGAGGTGCCTGGAGTCTGTGTACAATAAATGGGGAGAAATAGGCACCTTTGAATGGGATCCACAAAAATGACATGTTAGGCAGGGAGCTGCCTAAGGTAACCAATGAGAGATGCTGAGTTAGCTGCCTAAGTCCAGGCTGCAGGGAGGCACCTATTGCTGATTGTGACCCTCAGACAAGAACCCCTGCCCTGGAGTCAAGCTGTCTTAGATGCTTAGGTGTTTGCAAGAATGAGTTAGGCATCTGCCTTACTCCACACAAAATGCAGGGTGGGAAAAGAGCGGTGCCTAAGCTATAGCTTTTAGCCAAGTGTCCAGAGCACCCACCTGTGATGTGAGACATGCTGGTTTGATTGTCCTTCTTGCTGAGGTAGAGACAAAGTACGCTGCCTCTCAGGAGTGTGCTCTAACCACTGAGCTATGTTGTAGTATGATATGGGGTAGAAGGGGGGGGGGAACTGCCTCAGTCTCTCTTGATGAAGCTACTCCAAGATGCATAAATTCTTGAAGAGTTCCCTGGGTGGAGAAAGAGAACAAGAATGACTCTGCTGATTAGAGCACTTGCCCAGCGGGTGGCAGTCCAAGCATCCCATTCCCCAATCCATTCCTTTTAAAATTATATGAATCTGGGCCTTAGTTTCCCCCATCTGTAAAATGGGGGTGATAGCACTCACAGTGTTAAACAGGGAGCAGCTGCCAATTAGTCCAGTCAAACATGTCCCTGAAACAATATGGTCGATTGACTTAGGAACATGTCTAAGCCTACCATTTTTTCTCTGCTGATATTATGTTGTGTGCTAGCATCAGAACCAGCCTTAGCCACATGCTGAATATGGCACCCAAAGATTTAGGGCATGGTTGGGTTTTTGAGTCCATTGTGGCAAGGTCCTCGCTCAGGCCCCTTGCCCTGGGACACCTTCATCCACAAATCAGCCGGAGACCCTTTCTAGTGCAGTCACCTCTGCCTTTTACTGTCAGGGCCAATTTTCCACCACCTTCTCTTTACACAGCTTTGGTTTTTTAGCAGCTAACTCAGCCAGCCTCTCCTTCTGGCTTAGCAGCACACTCAGCCACATCATGGCTGCTCCCCTTTCACTGCCCCTCTGGTTGCCTTATATAGCCCTCTGGCTAATGAGGCCCACAGCTGCTTCCATTAGCCCTTCAGGCCTGGGCTTGCTCAGCTGTCTGCAATTGGCCTTTTCAGCCAGGTTGTAGTGGCAGAGCTCTGGCTTAGCCAGCAGTCTGTCACACCACCCACTGCTTCTTTGTATCCCTATTCTGTGGCTCTCCTTCCTCCGGACAGTATCTAGCTTAAAATGCAATGAGTACTCTTGTAGCACCTTAGAGACTAACAGAGAAATATATATATATAGCATCATGAGCTTTCGTGGGCACAACCCACTTCTTCAGATGACAAATATGGAGCAAAGGTCCAGGGATACAAATATATAGCAAAAAAAGAAAAGAAAAGGGGGGGAGGGGGAAACCCATCAAAGTTTCCATGCACAATGTAGCTGGGGTTCACCCGTGGGGGCTCAGGGGCCCTATTGTGCGGGTATCCTGCCACCCCCGTTTGTCCCGCTCGCCCCTCACTCCCAGCCTCTCGTCGTCCGCTCCCGCGGTCCGGGTCCAAAGACCCCACTCCCCAAAGTCCTGCTTGCCCCGTCCGCTGGCAACTTCTCCGTCTGGTTTGCCGCGTCATGCCTCGGCTGACTTCCCCCACCGTTGGCCGTCTCTGGTGTAGCACCCCCATTAGTCGCTCCTCCCTGTCCGGCTGCCCGGGGTCCCATCCGCTGGCTCCGGGGTCCAGATATCCCCTCGCTTTGCCTGTGGAGAGGGCTGAGAGCAGAATCTACTCTGCTCCGCACCACCCCCACCCTCAGTCCGCCCTTCCTCCCTTTTGTATTCCCCACCCGGCGTCCTCCCGTCCTTCCCCCGGGCCCGGGTGCCTTCCGGGCTCTCGGGTCCTGATGCCCGCCAGTTTTCAAGCCGGCTCCCCTGAGTCTGCATGGCAGTCCCCTCCCCCCGCCGAGTTCCTGGTGCCCGGGGGTCATGACCGCGGGGGGCCAGGTCCCCGTCTCAGGGCCCAGGAGTTCAGGAGAGAGTTCCCCCGCCACACACAATGAGGCTAATAGAGTGGGCTATAAATCTGATACTTAGCTTTTGATGTCATTTGGGTGTTAAATATAATGACCCATCCAAAAGATGTCTTTGTTCAGTCCCTGACTAAATTGTGTCAAATTTGCACATGAAGGCCAGTTCCAGAGTTTCTCTCTATAGTTGGTTCCTGAAATTATTCTGTAAGTCTGTGTCTACATTGGCACCCTTTTCCGGAAAAGGGATGCTAATGAGACCAGTCGGAACTGCAAATGCCGCGGGGGATTTAAATATCCCCCGTGGCATTTGCATGAACATGTCTGCCACTTTTTTCTGGCTCGGGGTTTTGCCGGAGAAAAGCGCCAGTCTAGACGGGATCTTGTGGAAAATAAAGCCTTTTCCGGAAGATCCCTTATTCCTCTTAAAATCAGGAATAAGGGATCTTCCAGGAAAGGCTTTATTTTCTGCAAGATCCCGTCTAGACTGACGCTTTTCTCCGGCAAAACCCCGAGCCGGAAAATAGCGGCAGGCCTGTTTTTTCCAATGCTGTGGGGGAGATTTAAATCCCCCGTGGCATTTGCAATTCCGACTGGTCTCATTAGCATCCCTTTTCCGGAAAAGGGTGCCAATATAGATGTTGCAAGGGGATGTGGATTGCAACTGCTTTAAATACTAAGGAGAGGGGATCACCACATGGGAGTGTAAAGGATTTTTTATTCAACTAAAACTGGGAAGGGAGGGGAATCTCATTCATACATTCAATCACACTTACAGTCCCAGGCAGGATGATAAGGCGAGCAGAAGGCAGTTCATATTCTTTGATCTTCCCAAGTTGACTCCTAAGCTGGTCCGCTGGGCAGGCGATCCGAGCAGAGGGCGTTCTGGGAGGCTTCACTTGATGGTCCACCACCACTGTGTCTCTGTCCCTCTCTGTCCCTCTCTCTCCACTGCTGGGGGCCGTGTGCACACCCTGCTGGGGGCCGTGTGCATACCCTGCTGGGGGCCATGTGCATTGTTGTTTACTCCTGCTGTTTACCTCAGACATTCTTCTGCACTCACTCAGGGAAGGGATAGGGGGTTAACAGACAACATGCCAACAGTTTAAGGAACCAAATAACATTAACAGGTGAGAAAGAACAACCACCATTTTAACTGTCCCCTTACTTCTCCTTTGCCTCCAACAATAGACACAGCCTATGGGTATGTCTACATTGCATTTCTCCTTCGAGAGAGGAATGCAAATGCAGACATGCGAAATTGCAAATGAAGCATGGATTTGAATTTCCCATGCTTCATTTGCATAATTGCGGATAGCCGCTTTTCCGAAATAGTGTATTTTGAGAAAACAAACGCAGTCCATGTGGGGTTACTTGAGAAAAAATCCTTCCTTCGAAATAACCCTTACTCCTTAAAACATGAGGTGTAAGTAGAGTAAATTCGAAATAACCCTTACTCCTTAAAAAATGAGGTGTAAGTAGAGTAAGGATGCTAGGGGAAGGAGAGTTGAGGAAATGTTCGAGGTCAGCCATATTAATGTTGGCATATTGTGGGCCATGAGGGTACCTATAGCGGTATGGGGATGAGGGGAGGACACCAGCACCCAGGTCATGTTGAAAGGCTAGTATTTTCGAAGAGTGTGAAGGCTGTTAGGTGTCCATTATACCCTGAAAGTCATTATATGGCTGTGGGTTGTAACTGTAGCATTACTATAATAACATTAATCTAAAAAGGGTGCATCTAAGCTGCACCCTTATCTTGAAATAAGCTATGCAATTTGAACTACGCAAATTCTGTAGTTTATCTCATGTTTGAAATATACCGCTATTATGAAACATCCCTTAATCCTTGAGGAATGAGGTGTACAGGGACATCGAAATAGTGCACCTGTTATATTTTGAAATAACAGGCTTGTTCAAAAGATGCAGAATAGCTATGCTGGGATATTGGAAGTATCCTGAAATAGTGCTGCAGTGTAGACGTACATATAGTGAAGATACAAAACCTTCACATTTGTCAAGTTTCTGTTTAACAAGTGAGGACTATTTTGGGACAGTTTCTATGTTTTAAAGCAAATATTCTAAATTTGTATTTGAATTACAAATTTTTTTGGTATATTCTAAATTTGTATTTGAATTACAAATATTTTTTGGTAAAGCTCTGCTTTCTACAGACCATTCAAAAAATCTCTCCTGTATCTATGATAAGCAATATCTGCAACTTTGTCATATTGTAATGTAGAATAATTTGATGCTGATATTATGGAACTTCCAAATTATCCCTATCATTTCAGACAATGTATTTAGATGTTTTGAGCAAATTGCATAATTAACTTCAAGTTCAGAGCCCATTTCCGGTCTATAATTCCAATGACTTAAAATATTGTGTTCCCCACTCCCTTCCACATCTTTTCTCATCTGGTTCACACTTACCATTCAAACATATTCTTTTTTCAGTGACTAATCATCTATAAACCACTGTATGAAATCTGGAGAATCACATGGTATGGAAATGAACCCTGCAGAAGGCAATAGACAATAGATGATAGCATAAGTAAAAGAGAAAGGAAAACATAAAGGTTGTGAGCTGGTGGGATAACACCCAGTTTTCCATTCTCACATCCAGATTGATGCAAACTTTAGTTTTCTCCACAATTCACTGGGAAATCTCAAAAAAAAGAAAAAAAAAAGTTCTCAGGGCATTTCCATTATGGTTGCAAACCAGAAGTAGAGAGTTGCACATGGGAGAAAAAGGTACAGGTACTCTTTCTACCTGTATGTTCGTGCAATGCTTAGCACATTTTGAATGTGACTATCTATTATATATTTGAGATTTAGGGTGTGTCTACACTGCAAGGCTTAACTCGAATTAAGCTACACAAATTGAGCTACGTCAATTGAGTATCTTATTTCGAAATAGCTAATTTTGAAATAAGGAGCATCTACACAGCACTTATTTCTAAGTGGAGCTCCCTTCCTCCAACTTCTCTTATTCTTCATACAATGAGGGTTACAGGAGTTGGAGTAAGAAGTCCTCCAGCTTGACAGTATTTTGACACTATTTCGAAATAACTAGTAGGCACAGACTAAGTTATTTCAGAATAGCATTAGATATTTCAAAATAGTGTTGCAGTGTAGATATACCCATAGTCTGTCTATGTCTGTCTGCCTGTCTCTCTGTCTGTTTCAGAACTCCTCCTGAATGGAGTTAGGACCGCCAAATTTGGTATACATCTTCCCATTGACATAAATTAAAGCAAAGTAAGGATTTTGTTGTGCTAGGAAAATGGGATTGTTTCTAAGAAAAACATACAGAATAACTAGGCAGGTGAAAGGACTGGCTGAGGATGTGCCCCCTTGTCCAGGACTTCCCTAGCCCCGAGCATCCCACCACCCAAGTGCCCTTTAAGCTGAAGCTACCTCTCTCCCTCCCCCTCCCACCGCAATTCATATAGGAATATTGCTGGCTGTTCCCCTTCATCAGGGAGTGAGGGGGAAGTACACAGTTTGCTGCATTCCTCACTCTAGCTGGGGATCACAGAGGTCAGATGAACCTGGACCTGCCCCAGCCGAGGGAAATGCACCCCTCCCCCAGGTGTGCCCACTGGAACTGCAGAGGCCATGTAGAGGCTCTTCTCACCTGACCCCAAGCTGCTACAGTGAGAGAGGGCTGAGGTAATCCTCTCTCCCTGGGGCAGCCTGAATACTGAGCCCCTCATCCCTAGTCCCACTCAGAGCATTGATTCAAATGAGGCATGGCCTTTTCATTTTTTTCACCAAAAACAAAAATTAAGTATGTTACAGACCTGAGCAACACTGGGTAAATCTTCTAGCAATATTAATAAATAATTATGACAGCTTTGCGAACATTGAGAGCTCAGTCCTGCTCCCATGGAATTCAATGGGAATTTTACTGTGGCTTTCTTAGGGCATAGGATCAAATATTAAGGGCCAAATTTGATCTCAGTTGTGCACCAATGCACATAACTATAGTAAGTCAGTGGAGTTTCAACAGTGAGACCAGAAGCAGAACTTGTATCTAAAGAACTTACCCTCACATCTCTGGTCTGTGTATTTCGAGATGGTGAAAATGAGACATGGGTAAGTTTTCTCAAAAAGATCAGTAGAAAATGGAGGTGGAGTTTTATTTTATGTACATGAGATTGTTCAGCCCTAGGATAATATAATATAATAATATATAAATGTGAGATCACTAGGTGTATCTAATGTTTAATAAAGGGCAAACAAATACAGAAAAGCTCATCTGAAGTATTTATTCATTTATTAACAGTTTTGAATGTAAACACTGTCCAGAATAAAAAAGGCAGCTTGTTTTGTTCTCCAAAAGCAATACTGCTTTCAACCTCCATTCTCACACGTTTTCACTATCTGTTCAAAGGCCTATTAGATCTAAACTCTTTGATGTATGACCAGCTACTTCTGTTGTGCCTTTTTGTTAACTCAGATCTAAATCGAGTGGGGGAAACGACACATTGGTTCTTTTATCACATACTTATAGGGTATGTCTAGACTGGCACAATTTTCCGGAAATGCTTTTAACGGAAAAGTTTTCCGTTAAAAGGATTTTCGGAAAAGAGCATCTAGATTGGCGCGGACGCTTTTCCGCAAAAGCACTTTTTGCGGAAAGGCGTCCGTGGCCAATCTAGACGCGCTTTTCCGCAAAGAAGCCCCGATCGCCATTTTCACGATCGGGGCTTTTTTGCGGAAAACAAATCTCAGCTGTCTACACTGGCCCTTTTGCACAAAAGTTTTGCGCAAAAGGACTTTTGCCCGAATGGGAGCAGCATAGTATCTCCGCAAAAAGCACTGATTTCTTACAGTAGGAAGTCAGTGCTTTTGCGGAAATTCAAGTGGCCAGTGTAGACAGCTGGCAAGTTTTTCCATAAAAGCAGCTGATTTTCCGGAAAAACTGGCCAGTCTAGACACAGCCATAGTGCTAACTTACAAGGAACTGGGATGTCTCTTGTTTCTGTGTATATATGTGTGCGCATGTGCATCTGTGTGTGTGTACACATGCATGCTTAAGTGACATAATGGGTTTATGACAAGGACAAAGTAAGGAAATATACAACTCAGCATCTTAATTAGAACAAATCAAATATGCATAAGCAATGGGAATATGGTGTTTCTTTTCTAAATGAATATTCCTGTCGAAGGCCCTGAATAGAGCATGCTATCTACATGCACATACCTTTCTGCCCACCTAAGCCCTCTTAAAGTCAATGGAACTCCATAAGGGTTTGCTCACATGGTCATCTTCACAGGATCACAGTCTATATATGCTGATGACTGAAAGCCTTAAAAGCAGTGAGGCAGACTTATTCTGCAACAAGGCCTCCGTGCAGAGGAATGTCTAACATTTTTATGCAAAATGAGACAACACATTCAATCAAGTATGGTAAAATAAGATGCCCATGGGCAACCCATTCATTTATTTAATAAAAAGACACAGCTCTTCTTTCAAAGATGCCCTAAATAGTTCATTTTGTGATGCTCTCAGACCAAATGTAACACAGTAACGACTACTTACTTTTCTGCTTTAGGCATCACACTTTGCTCTTGGTATGAGGCTGCATGAGCTAATGCCATCTCCAATGTGCCCCTGTCAGCCATTCTCTTCTTGCAACTGCAAGAAGTCATGTTAGGATTATGTGTCTGGGAGGGACTGCAGTGAGGAATCTTCTGTTTCTAATAGCACACCATGGACTTGTGGGTATGGCTGTAATACTCAAGTAGAAATGCAGCACAGACATTCAAGCATGAGTTCAAAATGAACAGGTCTGCAGCACAAGTCCAGTAGACCCAGATTTACTATGCAGAGAAGACATACCCCCAGAGGCGTGGATTGAAAGCCCACTGACATCAGTGGAAAGATTCCCATTGACGTCAGTGGCTTTTGGATCAGACTCAGAATGAAAATAATTCAGGGTCAGATTCAGAGCCCTTTTGCAAGAGATTCAACCTGATAGTCTAATACAAGCTTCTGCACTGGGCTCAGGAGCTGGAAAGGAAGAATTCAATATAAGGTGAGTTGCTTTCTTCAGAAAATAAAAACCTTGTTTAATCAAAGTCAATGGGGAAAATTAAGGAATAACAAATCATGGGAGCACCTTCAAAATGGCTCCGGTAAAAAGCAGAGGAAGTGCAAGCAACTCCCATGGCTGTGTCTAGACTAGCCAGTTTTTCTGGAAAATCAGCCGCTTTTATGGAAAAACTTGCCAGCTGTCTACACTGGCCGCTTGAATTTCCGCAAAAGCACTGACGATCTCATGTAAGATTGTCAGTGTTTTTGCGGAAATACTATGCTGCTCCCATTCAGGCAAAAGTCCTTTTGCGCAAAACTTTTGTGCAAAAGGGCCAGTGCAGACAGCTCATCTTTGTTTTCCGCAAAAAAGCCCCGATCGCGAAAATGGCGATCAGGGCTTTTTTGCGGAAAAGCGCGTCTAGATTGGCACGGACGCTTTTCTGCAAAAAGTGCTTTTGCGGAAAAGCATCCATGCTAATCTAGGCGCTCTTTTCCAAAAATGCTTTTAACAGAAAACTTTTCCATTAAAAGCATTTCTGGAAAATCATGCCAGTCTAGACATAGCCATGGTGTATGAGATGAGATACAAGCCAATGGATAGCATGGGGAGGGAAATAATCCATCTATTTCATTGTCTAGTAAGAAACACATCCATTCTATTTTTAGAAGAGGTGGGGTAAGTTCTGTTCTATACAGGCTCCTATACTGCAGTCGTTGTATTTAGTGGGATGCAAATAGCCATAAAGACATAAACGAAAAACGTCAAGTGTGATCCTATGGAAAGTTTCCTCCAGAAACCATAGTTATCTATTTGATGAATCAGCCTACATTATCATTGTACTGCACATCAGGCATATTGGCAAAACATGATTGACACATGAAGCCTGGAAACCCACAGACATCACTGAATTATAATACCCACTATGTTTAAAGTTTATTTCAAAATGTAATGATCAGTCTTCCACTTGACAAAGACTCTGGTGTATTTGGGGAGGAGTGCAAAATTGAAAATCTGGTATTTCAAGTACATCATTGCTGTATCAATTAGACCTTACTGAAAGTTTTAAAGAATGCAAAGCTACAGTGAACAAAAACGCTCTTTAATGTGCACTGTATTATTTTATTTGGATTTCTTTTTTAATGAGGCATGATTTTCAAAGTGAATAAATTGCTTTGTATAAATGACTCATCTTACTAATCACTCTGAAGTCCATTTGAAAATTGCATTTAAAAATGATTCTATTGTTTTAAAAGTGAGCAAAGTGCTAATGTAGATTTTTTTTCAACCTTCACCACCGGGTTTTAATTGAATTGAATTCTCCAAACTGACTAAATGGTGCATGAATGGGCAAAGATTCAAAGTTCAGTTTCTTCAATCAAAAATTCAGAATGCACTGCCAAACTAGGCATCACAAAAAACAAAGCAAACTAGCATCTGCTAATATGAAACTCAGATTCTGCCTCTCCAAACAG